CCCCCCCTCTGCTCCCTGCCTGTTCCCCCAGCCCGGTCCCACCATGTCGGTCTCCAAGCTGCAGGATGCAGATGAGGTTTTCGGTGAGTTCCCTGGGGGCTGTGGGGTGCAGCACCCCGGTGATGGGGGCTGTCCCCCACACGGCCCCCCTCAGGTCCCCTCGATGCCTTCCTGCCTGCCAGTGGTGATGTGAGGGGGGGTCACCTCGTGGGGACAGCGTGCGTGTGGGCATCGGGATGGAGGGGACACGCATGGGGCATATAGGGCAGCAGGGGTGTGGAGACGTGTGGGGCAGAGGGACACGTTGGGATGGGTGTAAGGATGAACACAGGACAGAGACATGGGGACGCTTATAGGGCAGTGGTGAGAGAAGGACAAACAAGAGGCACAGAGACGCTCTTTTGGGCCACCCGGGTTGTGCTCAGAACCACGGCGACACGGGGATGCAGCAGGGGACGTGGCACAGAGCCACACGTGGGGTTGGGGCACAGCAGGGTGGCACGCAGCCCCTCAGCCATGGGGTGACCCCACACAGAGCACCAGGCCCACGGCTGATGGGGACACCCCACACCGCACGCACCGGGCCTCTCTTTGAACTCTTCTTTCTGTCCCTCCTTCCCCTGTCCCCCCCCCCGCCCCCACCGCGGTTCCCCACCCACCCACATCCCCAACCCCCTCCTTCCCCTTTTGCCCTTCCCACTGGGATCCCGTTTGTCCTCTGATTCCTGCCCTACCTCCAACGCCCTGCTGTCCCTCTGTCCCTTCTGCACCGGGCTGTTCTTTTCCTGACTGCATGTCCATCTGTCCCTCCACTGCTGTCCCATCCCATGTCCTAACCTGACCTTACCCATCCATCCATCCCTATCTCCTATTCCTTATCCAACCATCCATCCTTCCATCCCCATCCATCCATCCATCTGTCCACCCATCTGTCCATCCATCCCCACCCATTCCCATTCATCTGTCCATCCATCCGTCCATCCATTCCCATCCCTCCATCCCCATCCATCCCCATTCATCTGTTCATCCATCTCCACCAATCCTGATCCATCCATCCATCCCCATCCATCCATCCCATCCCCATCCATCTGTCCATCCCCCCATCCATCCCATCCCCATCCATCTGTCCATCCCCCCATCCATCCCCATCCCTCCATCCCCATTTATCCATTCATACCCCATCCCCATCCCTCCATCCATCCCTATCCATCCTCACCAATCCCCGTCCATCCGTCCATCCATCCCCATCCATGCAACTCTGCCCACCCACCCATCCACCCATCCATCCCTACCCGCACACCCCCTCCCCCTGTCCCTCCCCTTGTCCGTCTGTCTGTCCGTCTCTCTCTCTCTGCCCCGGTCTCTCTTTCACCCCCAGATTTTACCGCTGTGGTTCCAGAGACGCCGCGTTTGGACAGCAGTTTGCAGAAGGCTCGAGCACGGCTGTTAGCCAAGAGCCGGCGGCACCGGCCCTCGCGCTCCCGCCTGCGAGACAGCGCCAGCTCCACCGAGGGCGAGGAGGGGCTGGAGGCGGCGGTGAGAGCCGGGGGGCACCGCGCCCAGGGAAGGATGTGGGGAAGGGGATGGTGGGAGGAAAGAGACGCCTCTGGGAGGGGGGAACCGATGGAGGGGGTTGGAAGCCCCCAGGGGGAGACCGACGGGGGGGGGATTGCCCCCTCCTCCCCCTCCACCCTGCCCTGTGCCCCCACCCAGGGAGCCGAGGGCAGCCCCGCAGCCCCCGGCCGTTCGCCCCCCGCCGCTCCGCTGCTCCTGGCCCCCTCGCCCTCCTCCCGCTCGGAGTTCTCCTTCGAGGCGGGGGCGGTGTGCAGGGTGTTGGGGGATCCCACCCCGGCCCCCTCGCCGCCCCTCGGCCGCTATCGGCCCCTCACCAACGCCTCGTCCCAGGAGGGGCTGGCGGGGACACCTTCGCCCAAGTCCTGCCCCAGCTCCGACAGCTCGCCCGGCTTCGCTCGCCGCGATGCGTGGCTCCAGCGGCACAGCGAAGGTGAGCTCCTCCCCCCCCGGCCCCCTGCCCACATCCTGGTGTGGGGGGCGTAGGGTGACACCCCATCCTCATCCCGCAGATGACAGCAGGGACATGAGCCCCCCCGAGCCGGCCAGCCCCACCGTGGGGCTGGATAAGAAGACGAGGAGAAAGTTCCTGGATTTGGGGTGAGAGCCAGAAGTGGGGAGGGTTGAAGGATGGGTGGTGGGGGAGTGGTGGGAATGTGGAGGAGGGGTCTCCATAGAGCTGGGGAGATGGATGGATGGATGGATGGATGGATCGAGGGATGGATGGACGGATGGATGGGGAGGGTTTTTGTAGATGGATGGATGGAGAAGGTCTCTATATATGAATGGATGGACAGACGGATGGATGGATGGGGAAGGTCTATGTGGATGGATGGATGGATGGATGGATGGATGGATGGATGGATGGATGGATGGAGGGATGGGTGGATGGATGGATGGGTGGATGGATGGGTGGACGGGTGGATGGGCGGGTGGATGGATGGATGGATGGATGGATGGATGGATGGATGGATGGGTGGATGGATGGGTGGGTGGATGGGTGGATGGATGGGTGGATGGATGGATGGAGGCTGTGGGGAGCACAGCCCCTGGGAACCCAGCTGTCTACCAAAGCAGCCCCTCCCACACAGGGTCACCCTTCGCCGGGCATCCTCCAGCAAGAGCCGCAAGGAGAAGGGCAGCAACCGCCTGTCCATGGGCAGCAGGTTGAGACCCCTACCCCACACTGGGGGCTGCCAGGCCCTGTGCATCACAGGGGGCAGCTCTGGGACCCTAACACAGCTCTGTTCCCAGGGAGGTGTCAGAAGGTCCCGGCCGCCCCTCGGGGTCGCCCTTCCTGCCCTTCTCCTGGTTCTCAGATGGTGCCCGGGGCTCAGCCTCACCTGGCTCTGCATCACCCACCAGTTCCCCCCGGCACGATGGGCTCAGCCCTGCCAAATCTGCCTCCCAGGTCAGTGCCAGTGGTCTCCAATCTCCATTGGGGTGGGTGGTTGTAGGGACGGGAGCACAGGAGCCTTACAGGGCCAGGATCCAGGACTCAGTGCCCCTATGGCTCAAGCAGTTATAGGGGAAGAGGTCAAAGTCCCTAGGATTTGAGTCTCTATAGGGACAAAGACCCATATGGTCAAAATGGCTATTGGGGAGAAGTTCAAAGCCCTGTAGAGTGAAGGAAGTTACGGGGAAGGTGAGGATCAAATCTCCATAGGGTCGAGATACCTACAGCAAAGGGGGGGAATCAAAGACCTGTAGGATCAAGCTAACTCTAGGGGAAGGGATCAAAGCCCTGTAGAGTCAGGACACCTTTGGGGGGAGGATGGAAGCAGCATAGGATTGGGTAGGGGAGGGAATCAGAGCTCAGTAGGGTAAAGAGAACTGGGATGTCGGAGCCCAGCAGGGAGGATGGCTGCAGGAAGGGGGCTGGGGGGCTGCATGCTGCTCTGGGGTCCAGCCCTTGCTCCTCTCACTGCCCAATAGGACTCAACGCTGAGTGAGGACTCCCCACCGCCCAGCTCCAGCCCTCGTCTGCCCGGCCCTGCTGCCACCAAGTGCTCCTACCCCTACCACACACTGTCACAATCCTCAGACGAGGTGAGTCCCAGAGGCGGCGGAATGAGTTTGATGTCACTGGGTGCCACACGTCCCCTGTTAACACCTGGATCACACACCCAGTTCCTGGATGAGCCCCCCGGCGCGGCCATGGGCTGGACGTGCCACCAGGTCGGGCAGTGGCTGGAGAGCCTCAGCCTGGAGCAGTACGTGGAGGAGTTCTCAGCTCATGGCATCGATGGCCCCCGGCTCCTGCATCTCGATGGGGCCAAGCTCAAGGTAGGGAACTTGAGGGTTCCTACACCTCTGGGGGGTTCCAGGGATGCATGAGGCAAGATCTTCTGGGCGTGCCAACAAGGTGCTCCACGGGGTAGGAGGTCTGCGAGGGTTCTAGGTACCCCAATTGACTCATCAGAAGATAAAAGGCTCTAGGTACCACAACAAGTGACTATGGGATGGGATGTCTGAGTGGGTTCTAGATCCCTTAATGGACTTCTTCAACGGGGCAGGCTTAATTGGGGTCCAAGTACCACAACAGAAAGCTCTATGGGGTAGGAGATCTAGGTGGGTTCTAGGTAACCCAATGGATGCAGAGGACACCAGGTTCTAGATGACCCAACAGGCAGCTCCATGGGACAGAGATGGGGAGGTTCTAGGTTCACCAACGGGCTCCTCAAAGGACAACAGGTTCTAGGTACCCCAACAGCCTGCTCCACAGGACAGCTGTGGGTAGGCTGTAGGCACATCACGGAGCTCAAGGGACAGCCGGTCCTACGTACCCCAACGATCTGCTCCGTGGGGCAGAAGGCAGGACAGGCTTCAGGCAGCCTAACAGACTGGCTTCTAGACCCCTCACAGGGCTGGTGAATAGGGTGGAAGGAGTTGGGGGGGGGAGGGCAGACCCCAATGC